GGGGAAATTGGAGGGGGAGACGAACCATGAGAGACTATGGACTCTGAGAAACAAACTGAGGGTTCTAGAGGGGAGAGGGGTGGAGGGATGGGTTAGCCTGGTGATGGGTATTAAAGAGGGCATATATTGAATGGAGCACTGGGTGTTATACGCAAACAATGAATCATGGACCACTACATCAAAACTAATGATGTAATGTATGGTGATAAACATAACATAATAAAATAAAATTTAAAAAATTCTTAGCTGAGCTCTTTAAAATATATATATGTAAAACATATATAAATGTATTTATATTTATAAAATATATGTATACATCTAAAACATATGTATACATATATATATTCCATCTAAAATAATTTCATGCAGGAAAGTTCACTGTTATGAAACTGTTGACCAAAATTATAAATCCAAACTACACACATAGCTTTTTTCTCCTGACCTAGATCCACTCGGGGAAAAAACAAGCTTAAGAAACTTAACCACGGGCAAAGTTCAGGCAGCATTTTCTCTATAACATCATTATTACCAGTTGCTAAGTTAGTTCTATCCAACAGGTAAAACAATGTCCGAGGGGTGCCTGGGTGGCTCAGTTGGTTAAGCATCCAACTCTTGGTTTCAGTTCAGGTCATAATCTCATGGTAGTGGGATCGAGTCCGGCATCGGGCTCTGTGCTCAGCGTGGAGTCTGCTTCAGATTCTCTCTCCCTCTCCCTCCCGCTCACTCTTTCTCTTTCTCTCTCTCTCTGTCAAATAAATTAATTAATTAAACCTTTAAAAAAAGAAAACCAGGGAGCGCCTGGGTGGCTCAGTTTGTTAAGTGTCTGCCTTCGGCTCAGGTCATGATCCTGGGGTCCTGGGATCGAGTCCCACATCGGGCTCCCTGCTCAGCGGGGAGCCTGCTTCTCCCTCTGCCTGCCGCTCCCCCTGCTTGTACTCTCTCTTTTTCTCTCTCTCAAATAATTAAATAAAATATTTAAAACAAAAAACAACCCTACCCTAAAACTTCCTGCTCTCAGAGTTGTAAATTAAAGATATCATTTACCTTAAAGGCCTAACGGCCTAAAATCAACCAAGTTTCTTTGGAACACATCCAAAACTTAGAGTTAATATTTGAGAATTTGTGACTCTAAAACGTTTTAAAATGTTTTTTAAGGAAGATTCTGAAGGAAAGTCAGAAACACAAGTAGAAAATGAAATAACTGAACCAATCACCCCTCATGTCATATCATTCCTTCTAATACCACACATCATTGGAACAGAAGTAGTGGTCACAGTATATAAAGAGAAAAGGAAGATGTGATGGGGAAGAGAAGTCATAGGAACTGAGTTGCAGTAATGAATATTGGGTTTTAATTATTATTTAATTTTTATTGTTTATTATTATTAACTTTATTATTATAGCACAGTTATATAGGGATAAAGAACAGATAAGGGATGTTATGTTGAAGTATTTAGGATTGTTAGCTGGTGCTTAGTTGGAATATGTAACTAATATTTAGAATTGTTAGTTGCTACTTATTGGAATACAAAATATGCATAAAATTTTTCAAGCACCAAAACACAAATAATAGCAAAACAAATTTAAGGGAAAAATTTGCCTTGGGGTCTGATTAGAAAAGTACATAGGTTGGATGGGGTAGACGGGTGATGGGTATTAAAGAGGGCACTTGTTGTGATGAGCACTGGGTGTTATATGTAAATGATGAATCACTGAACTCCACTCCTGAACCAATATTGAACTGTATGTCAACTAACTAGAATTTAAATTTAAAAAAAAGAAAGAAAGAAAAGCATACAGGTTAAAATCTTGGAGCTTGGGGCTTCTAGGTGGCTCAGTCAGTGAAGCATGCAACTCTTGATTTGGGGTCATGAGTTCGAGCCCCACGGTGTGGGTAGAATTTATTTAGAAAAAAAAATCTTTTTTTTTTTTTAAGATTTTATTTATTTATTTGACAGAGAGAGACACAGAGGGAACACAAGCAGGGGAAGTGGGAGAGGGAGAAGCAGGCTCCCCACTGAGCAGGGAGCCCGCTGCGGGGCTCGATCCCAGGACCCCGGGATCATGACCTAAGCCGAAGGCAGACGCTCAATGACTGAGCCACCCAGGTGCCCCAGAAAAAAAAAAATCTTAAGCTTAATTGTTAGCAGGTCCTTTAAAATTCCTCTAGTCCAACTTTTGCAGGACTCTCTTCTTCAATATCCATGACAAAGAATCAGCCACTTTCTGTTCTGAACTTCCCAAGGCAGGAGATTCACGAGTTTCCCCAAAGAAGCCAATTATTTCATTATTGAAAGCTTTAATTGTTGGGAGTACAGTCTGACTTCTAACAGTTTCACTTGTAGGTCCTAATCATCACCTCAAAGCAACAGTAAAGAAGCCTGCACTATATTCTACGTAAAGCCCCTTCAAACATATTTATATATAAATGGACAGATTCAAACAATGGTTCAAAGGAAATAAAGAGGATAAGTCTTAAGAATAACATTCACAGAATGTCATCTAAGTCATCCCAGAGGAAGCAAAAAAATTCAGTTCAGAATTACTGATTTAGGGGCACGTGGCTGGTTTAGTCGGTTAAGCATCTGAGTTTGCCTCAGGTCATGATCTCGGGGTCCTGGGATCAAGCCCGGCGTCCGGTTCCCTGCTCAGCGGGTAGTCTGCTTCTCCCTCTCCCTCTGCCCCTCTTCCTGCTTGTGCTCATGCTGTCTCTCTCAAATAAATAAATAAAATCTTTATTAAAAAAAGAATTACTGGTTTAAAATATTATAAGCACTACTACTAAAAGTAATCTCAGAGAATTTTAAATTTTTCAACATCAGTCTCTTTTTTTATTTAAATTCAATTAACTAACATATATTATTAGTTTCAGAGGTAGAATTCAGTGATTCATCAGTTTTACATAACACCCAGTGCTCATTACATCACGTGCCCTCCTTAATGTCCATCACCCAGTTACCCCATCCCCCCACCTCCCTCCCCTCCAGCAACCCTGTTTGTTTCCTATGATTAAGAGTCTCTTATGGCTTGTCTCCCTCTCTGATTTTGTCTTGTTTTCTTTTTCCCTCTCTTCCCCTATGATCCTCTGTTTTGTTTCTTAAATTCTATATATGAGTGAGATCATATGATAATTGTCTTTCTCTGATTGACTTATTTCGCTTAGCAAAATACCCTCCAGTTCCATCCATGTTGTTGCAAATGGCAAGATTCCAATCTTTTGATGGCTGAATAGTAATCCATTGTATATATATACACCACATCTTCTTCATCCATTCATCTGTCGATGGACATGTGGGCTCTTTCCATAGTTTGGCTATTGTGGACATTGCTGCTATAAACATCAGGGTGCACATACCCCTTCGGATCACTACATTGTATCTTTGGGGTAAATACCCAGTAGTGCAATTGCTGGATCGTATGGTAGCTCTAATTTAAACTTTTTGAGGAACCTCCATACTGTTTTCCAGAGTGGCTGCACCAGCTTGCATTCCCACCAGCAGTGTAAGAGGGTTCCCCTTTCTCCATATCCTTGCCAACATCTGTCATTTCTTGACTTGTTAATTTTAGCCATTCTGACTGGTGTGAGATGGTATCTCACTGTGGTTTTGATCTGTATTTCCCTGATGCCAAGTGATGTTGAGTCCTTTTTCATGTGTCTGTTAGCCATTTGGATGTCATCTTTGCAGAAATGTCTGTTCATGTCTTCTGCCCATTTCTTGACAGGATTATTTGTTCTTTGGTTGTTGATAAGTTCTTTATAGATTTTGGATGCTAGCCCTTTATCTGATTAGACATTTGCAAGTACCTTCTCCCATTCTGTCGGTTGTCTTTTGGTTTGTCAACTATTTCCTTTGCTGTGCAAAAGTTTTTTATCTTGATGAAGTCCATATGGTTCATTTTTGCCTCTGTTTCCCTTACCTTTGGAGACATGTCTAGCCAGAAGCTGCTGTAGCTGAGGTTGAAGAGGTGCTGCCTGTGTTCCCCTCTAGGATTTTGATGGATTCTTATCTCACATTTAGGTCTTTCATCCATTTTGAGTCTATCTTTCAACATCAATCTTTCAAGTCAGTCTTTCAAGTGCAGCTTATGATTTTGCCACACCCATAATAATCACTACTATTTAATAATACTTTAATTCATTTCTTAGGTTAAATGAAGTATTTTAAGAGAAATCTTTATATTATTGTTGTAAATGGAAAACCATTATCTATTTGTCATATGCAAACTAACATTAAAAATAAATACATTAACTCTAATGCACCAACCTATTATCATGTCATGTACTAATGGTGGTATGCATGTCACCCTACCAGGAGAAATGGTTTAAAATATCTACTATAAAGTTTTTTGGAAACATATTAAAGAATTATAAACTTCTTAAAGCATCCCACAGAACATTCCAGATGAGAGGCTTTTGAATTGAAAAAGGTTAAAATCAGTAGGAGTCAAAAAGACCCTGACTACCACTTACTAGTTGTGTGTCCCCATTAAGCCTCAATTTTCACATCTGTAAAACAGGGATTAAAGGAGCAGCTACCTCATGGGGCGTTCTATAAATTGAATGAAATCACGCAATGCTAGAAAGCAAATGAGCCACAATGTATACTAACCACTGTGGTATTAGCCCCTACTACTATTATTTCTGTAGTTTGAGAAAATCTCAAACATTACCCATCTCCACACAGGCCTTTTTAGGTGGCCTAGAGATCAAGATCTTTAAAGATACTGTATTACATCAATAAATGCAAAATACATTAACATATTTACTCTCTAGGGTAACAACTGCATTTCAGAGACTACTTGGAATAGCCATGATACTTCAAAATCCAAAAAAGCATTTCCATATTTACCTATACAAAGAAGTATAGTTATGTTTTATAAAATCCTTTATCCCCAACCTAGCACAGACATTAATGAGAGCTATATCTAAAATGCTACACATTCATAGTTATGTAAGTTTCATAAATTCTTTATAAAGAATTTTACAGTAAAACACTTACAAACTCAGTTTTGCAAAGCTCTCTTGTGCGTTATGCTTTTCTCGCTCATATGCACTTTCAACTTCTTTGAATTCATTCTTGATCATTTCCAAATCTGCAACAGCTTCTGCTTGGCTGGCCTTTTCTACCTGCAAAGCACCTTCAAGGTCTCGAATCCGTAACTACCAGATGACAGAGAAGTAGTTAAAACAAGCAAGGAAATGCTAGCATCACAGGCTAGTCAAATGGAATAGAGTACTTTATCAGCAGCAGTTTATCATTCATCCAAACACTTCTTCCTTTCTGCTTTCGTTCAAAAGGGAAAATAAACAAAAGACAGTGTATTCCCTTTCTCAACGTGTTTAACGGAAGGGAGGAAGAGTGGAAGAATAGTTAACCGTGCTATGGAAATGCCTAATCAAAGTGCCAAATTATGACCTACTATTCCATTTGGATACTTCTTTTATAAAACATAATGAAATTAGTGGTTTTGGAAAACAAAAGGGAAGCATTCTTCACTTATGAGAAACATCATTACATTGGCATCTTTAGAAACCCATGAAAGATAACACATCTTTTTTATTCCTAGAGATTTTTACTGTAGAAAAGTAAAACTTTTATTACCAAATAATACTATTTGACTAAAATATTTATGAGTGTAGTTACATGATATCTAGGATTGGCTTCAAAATGATATGGGGATAGGGAGTAGATGGGTGCAACAGATAAAAAACACAATTGACCTGAGGTAAATCTTTTTTGTTTTTTTAAAGATTTTATTTATCTGACAGAGAGAGACACAGCGAGAGAGGGAACACAAGCAGGGGGAGTGGGAGAGGGAGAAACAAGCGTCCCGCGGAGCAGGGGGCCCGATGCGGGGCTCGATCCCAGGACCCTGGGATCATGACCTGAACCGAAAGCAGATGCTTAATAGACTGAGCCACCCAGATGCCCCAACCTGAGGTAAATCTTGAAGTGATGGCTATGTGCAGAGTTCATTTTACCATTCTCTCTACTTTTGTATATACTTGAAACTTTACATAAAATAACACTTTGAAAAGTAGATTCCATGTAAACATCGACAGTAGAACAGATAAAGTACATTCCCATAAAAGAATAATATGCAGCTATAAAAAAGCTGCAAAACAACTCTTGAAAAGGAAGTTCTCTCTGTGGTTCTCCATGTGGTGTTAACACAGACTGAAAAAGCAAAGTCTACATCAGTGTATGTAGTATGCTATATTTTGCGTAAACAAGTGGAAAAAATTAAGTAGCAGGCAAGAGGGTAGAGCAAAGGGAGAGACAGGAGTGAAAGCAAGAGTTCTCGATCATTTAATATTGTTTTGATTTTTGAACTATGTGGATGTTTTACCTTTTTCAGAAAATTAAATTAAAAATAAAAAATAGACTGCTAAGGCTCAGAAAAAGTGGGGAGTGGTAGAAAATGATTTACACTAAATAGAATATGGGCTTTAGAACCATAAAGCTCACATTTAACTTCCAGCTCTACAAATTAACTTATGAGACCTTTGGCGTATTACTAAAACTCCAAAGGCCTTAGGTTCCTCATCTGTAAACAATAAATAATAGTAATAATAATAAACAGACTATCTACAGGGTTGTTACAAAGATCTAATGAGATAATATTCATCTAATATATATTTAATATTATATATGTATATGTAGTACTTATTTAATAAATATTTGGGTAAATATTTATTAAGCACTTAATATGTGCCAGGCAGTGAGCTAGTGCTCAAGATATTATACAATAATCTTGAAAATAGACAGTCTTAGTTTTGAGGAGCTCCTAGTCTTTAGGAGAGGAGAGACCATGACAGAATGTGAGTGCTTCCTATCACAGAAGCAGGCACAAAGGGCCATGAAATCAGAGAAAAGCTATGACCAAGTCTCCTGGGGATGGCAAACGACAATTCGAGGTAAGAAAGATGAAATCATCAAGAAAAGGACAACATGAAAATGTTTTGTAAATTAACCTATATAAATAATAAGCACCAGAATTATTATTTGTAATTATTCAAAAATATTTTGGAATAATCAAAACATTCTTACACTAAAGTAAGGACATAGAATAGATCTGGAGATACAGCTTGGTAAATTTTCAAATTTGGTCTTTTAAACTTTATTTTTCTTTGCTATTTTGTCTAAAACCAATGTTGACAGGTAAAATAATAAATCTAGGAAACATTTTCTTCTGTCTGCATCGCTATCTTCTTTCAGAAAATAAGCACACTCAATCACAAATGATAAATCAATCCAACTGAAAGAGAAATAGGCTTCAAATTAATAACTCTGAGTCAACTCTCTGATTCTACTTTACCATTTTTATAAGACCAAATTTAACAACAGAATACTTCAAACATACATTTAACTACAGTTTATGATAAGATGGTGATTAATTACAACTATTTAGTAGTCTCATTTGCTTTTAAACTAATCTGAAACTGAATTTAACTAGATGTACCTCATTGAAAATACTTATCAATATTTATAGATATATGGTTCAAATATAAACTTTGGCTTTTTTTCTGAGTCATACCACGAAGTTAAATATCAAATATTAATTTTACTTTTTATTTATTTTTTTAAAGATTTTATTTATTTATTTGACAGAGAGAGGGAGAGACACAGCAAGAGAGGGAACACAAGCAGGGGGAGTGGGAGAGGGAGAAGCAGGCTTCCCGCAGAGCAGGGAGCCCGATGCGGGACTCGATCCCAGGACCCTGGGATCATGACCTCAGCCGAAGGCAGACACTTAAAGACTGAGCCAGCCAGGCACCCCTCAAATATCAGTTTAAACTATATGAGTAAAAGAATACATGTAACAATATTTATTTTTATAGCTATTAACTATATATCCCAGGTATAAATTATAACTACAATGAAAAACTTAATTTTGAATTATACTTCTTTAATAAACTTAAAACTTTTGCCTTATTGCTTATTGATGCCATTTGGAGTGATTCAATCATTTAAAAAAAAAAAAAAAGCTTAGGGGCACCTGGGTGTCTCAGTCGGCGAAGTGTCCGACTCTTGATCTCAGCTCTGGTCTTGATCTCGGGGTCGTGAGTTCAAGCCCCGCATTGGGCTCCAAGCATAACTTGCACAAGTTTGCTTAAAATACAAACACACTCAAATACGTGGATCTGAGAATTTTGCAGGTAAAGAGGGCATTTCATTAAAGATAAAAGCTTTAAAAATTTTTATTATAAAATTCTTGTAAGTTTAGTTGCATCCTATATTAAGACCTGTTTAAACAATAACGTAAAATTTTTGCAAGTTGTATTAATTAAAATTTAATGTAAGGGAAAAGTCTAAGTCTTAAAAAAAAAAATCTGAGGGCGCCTGAGTGGCTCAGTTGGTTAAGCGACTGCCTTCGGCTCAGGTCATGATCCTGGAGTCCCTGGATTGAGTCCCGCATCGGGCTCCCTGCTCGGCAGGGAGTCTGCTTCTCCCTCTGATCCTCCCCCCTCTCATGTGCTCTCTCTCATTCTCTCTGTCTCAAATAAATAAATAAAATCTTTAAAAAAAAAAAAATCTGAATTAAATTAAGGAACTGAGGGGCGCCTGGCTCAGTCAGTAGGGCTTGTGACTCTTGATCTCAAAATTCTGAGTTCAAGCCCCATGCTGGGTTTGGAGCCTACTTTAAAAAAAATTAAATTAAAGAACTTAGATTTCTGGAACTTTATATGAAACTTTATACACAACTTGGCCATGGGCCAGACGTGGTCCGTGGGCAGTAGTTTGCCAACTCCCAGTTGGAATGCCTTCACTTCCCCGAGAAATTACCTGTGATTCTCTAACACGTGGAGGACACTTTCCTTAGGATGACTTCAATTAATTCCCCTCCAGATTTAATCTTTATTATGCTCTTATAGTATTTTAGTATTTTATATTTCTATCCATACATTTATCTGTATATCTATATAGATGCAGATAAATATACAGTATTTCTGATAATGGAAGTAAGTTCCAAGAGTAGTTTCTTCGCCTTTATACCTTCAGTTATTAATACAAGTGATAAGCAATGTGCACAGGATATATACTCAATAAATGAAGGTGCATATTTTTTAAATGTTTTCAAAAAGAAATTCATCCCATGGCTGTTGATGAAAAGAACACTCTGATCAGCAAATCTTTCTGTAAGAGGCCAGATGACAAATATTTTGGACTTTGCAGGCCATAATGTCTCTGTCATAACCATCCCCCTCTGCCACTGCAGCACAAAAGCCCCACGGACAAGACAAAGCCTCCCTTGAACAGGTGGTGGGTGAGGTACGGCCTGTGGGCTGTAGTGTGTCAAACCCTTCTCTAACAAAACCATCCTCAACTATATCCTGGTAGCAAATAGAGTAATGAGTGTCTTAATAATATGCTACGTTTTTTTTAAAATTTTATTTATTTATTTATTTGAGAGAGAGAGAGCACTGGGGAGAGGCAAAGGGAGAGGGAGAGAATCCTAAGCAGACTCTGCACTGAGCTCGGAACCCGTCGCGTGGCTCGATCCCATGACCTTGAGATCATGACCTGAGCCGAAACCAAGAGTCAGGGCCTTGACTGACTGAGCCACCCAGGTGCCCCTATGCTACCCATTCTAAATGTAAACCTTACTTCTCTGAACAGAATGCTGCTTTTCCCAACTTAATAAAATCCATACAAAAAAATTTTTGTTTACGTTTTACCTGAATAATTTCAGAATTAAATTTTGATTCCAAATGTGCGGTTCTCTCTGCTTCAATATTTTCTTCTAATTTCCTCACTCTTAGAGTAGTTGCCTGAAAACAAATTAAAAGTTTAAACTCACAAACGTTGGCATTTAAAGTAGATATGGATCTTTGGAACAACAGGGATGGAGCTAGAGAGTATAATGCTAAGCAAAATCGGTCACTTACAAAAAGACAAATACCATATGATTTCACTCATATATGGAATTTAAGAAACAAAATAAAGGAACAAAGGAAAAAAGAGAGAGAGACAAGCCAAAAAACAGACTTAACTATAGAGAACAAACTGATGGTGACCAGACGGGAGGTGCGTGGGGGATGGGTGAAATAGGTGATGGGGAGTAAGAGTATACTCCATCATGATGAGCACTGAGTAGTGTATAGAACTGTTGAATCACAACATTGTACACCTGAAACTAATATAGCACTGTATGTAAACTATACTGGAATTAAAATTAAAAACTTTTAAAAAACGTGAATATGGATCACACTTTAGATTACTATAGCCTCGTTTTTTTCTGCTTTTGCAAGAGTGTAAAAGTCATGTTAAAAAATCATGTGAAAATCATGCTCAGGAAGAATGCTCCAGACCTTGCCTTTTTTTTCTTTTTTATTGATGTATAATCTATATATAATAAACTGCACATATTTAAAAGTGTGTAATTTGATAAGTATATATATATATATACACCCATGAAATCACTGCCATAATGAAGATAAGAAATACCTCTGTGACCCTTAAAAGATTCCTTATATCTCTTGGTAACTTCTTCATCCAGCCCTCACCACCCTACCCCCACCCCCAAGTAACCACTGATCTGTTTTTTGTCACTATCGATCACTTCGTATTTTCCAGAATTTCATATAAATTGAGTCATACAGCATGTACTCTTTATTGCCTGGCTTCTTTCTCCCAGCATAACTATTTTGAGATTCACCATGTGGTTGCATTTATCAATAGTTTATTCCTTTTTATCGTTAAAGAGTTCCACTGTGTTGATACACCACACCGATTTATCTGTTCACCAGTTGATGTACATTTGAGTTGTTTCCAGTTTGTGCTATTACAAATGAAACTGCTACGAGCCTTTGTGTACAAGTGTTTGCATGGGCAAACACTTTGATTTCTCGGAGGTAAAAAGCGAAGGGAAGAATGATGGGGTCACATGGTGGGTGTATGTTTAATGTTTTATGAAACTCCCAAACTTTTCCAAATTGCTTATAATTTTATACAACCTCACCAACACTTGGCATGGTCAGTTTTTGCTTTTTCATTTAGGGGGAGGAGGGGGCTTAAGACATTCAAACAGGCATGTAATGGCATTCCATTTCAGTTTCAATTTGCATTTCCCTAATGACATTGAGCATCTTCTCATATATTTATTTACCATCTGTATATCTTCTTTGGCGAAGTATTGTTCAGATCTTTTCCCCATTTTTTAACTGGGTTGTTTGTTTTCTTATTATTGAGTTTTGAGTTTATATAATCTGCATGCAAGTCATTTACTGGATATGTGATTTGCAAGTATTTACTCCAAGCCTACAGCTTGTATCTTCATACTGTTAACAATGTCTTTCACAAAGCAAAAGTTTTCATTATGATGAAGTCTACTTTATCAATTTTTAGGCAAGCGTAAACTTCTGGCCAGAATCAGAAGTCAGGAGCCTTATTTCTGAAGGCCAATTCTGTTGAGAAAATGCAAGCCTGGGAAGCACTGGATTCCTCGTCCCAAAGAGGGAACTGGTCATGACCAAAAGCCTGTTGGGGGCTGGGCAAGTAGTGCTACAGGGACCCGCACTGCAGATGTCTCAGGATAACAGTAGCAAAGCCATGCCTAGAGTCCTACCTGTCAAATAAAGATGGTTCAACAATGACGGAGTAAGGAATTACTAATTAGATTTCCTTTTCAAGTAACTTCTGGACAAGAAATAAGTTTCTATTAATTATCTTTACTTTATCATTTAGCCTAAGCTGAAGTTTTTTTTAAATACACAACTTGATTAATTGGTTTTTCCTCTTTCCTTCCACAATTTTTTTTTTTTTTTTTACAGAATCTCAGCAAGAAGGAGCATAAGTAAAAACTGGATAATTCACAAACAAGCCGTCTGTGAATAATAAATGACTACACTTTTCTTTGAGCGAAGGAGATTCCTGTAATATCTTATTATAGAGTAGAGTATAAACACAAATATTCCTTCTTCTCTAGAGGCCTTTGTAGATACCTCTTGCTACTAATGGCCTTCATAATCAAGAAGCAATTCTGCTTCGGGATTCAATCACTCTGTGTTTCACAGATATGAAACTCACAAAATATTTTTTTACACTGACTTATTTGCTTTACTTAGATTCTGCAACCCTGTCGATAATATTTTTTAATGAGTTAACTCTCTTAATGAGTTACTAGGAAAGACTTTTTTTCTAGAAGGCAGACAAAACAATAAGTCCAAATGTGATCTTTTGGGTCTAAAGATAATTTAAACCCAAAACAATAAAATGATTTTTTAAGTTAGTAGAGTATAATATCTTTAAAGGTAAAATCTGACATTTATATTCTATACTACTAGAGTATTTTGAAATAACAGGCATTCCACTGAAAGACAAAACTGGTAAATATTCATAATTTAGTCTGATAGCTCAAGACTTGAGATTCAAAAAAACTGGAAATGAAAAATATAAAACTAAGGAGTTATTTATTATTTTTTTAGGTGTAGTTATAATTGGTATTGAGGTGCTTGGCTGGCTCAGTTGGTAGATTATACAACTCTTGATCTCAGGGTCATGAGTTCAAGCCCCACATTGGGTGTAGAGCTTACTTTAAAAAAGTTTAATAATTGGTATTTTTTTTAACTCCTATCTTTTTGAAATATATTCTTAAAGTGCTCATGGATGAAATTATATGATGTCTGGATTTGCTTTCAAATAATCAAGCTGGGAGTTACAAGAGGAAGTTGATATTCATGAAATAATACTGGCCTTTAGTTGATCATTGTTAAAGCTGAGTGACAGGCACATGAGGTTCATTTTAGTATTCTCTCTACTTTCATGCATAATTAAAATTTTCCATATTGAAAAAATTTTTAAATGGAAACCACAGCAAAGGAAGTATGGTGGGAAAGTATGGTGCTGGTATCATTATTTACCTAACAAAATTATATTTTGATGACAAAAAATCACTAGAATGAATTAAGCCGTTCATACCTAAGCAGAAAAAGTCAGTGGGAAGGTGGGAGTTTAAATCAATCAATTCCTACCTATATTGTTGAAATATTAAGATAATTGAAGCAAATATTCCCTTCATACTCACTACCACCTTTCTCAAAACATGTTTCACACCAAATATTAGTCCCATGGGATGTAATTAGCTGTTATATGAAAAAGCAATTTCATCATTATAAGTGTGTGAAAAACACAGGATTAAAGCCAAACAATTTTACTAAAGCACTTCTCAAAAAGTTAACATGACAATCTTGAAAAGGAAGAACAAAGTTGGAAGACTCACATTTCCTGATTTCAATACGACTACAAAGCTATAGTGATCAAAACGCTGTGGAACTGGCATAAGGACAGACATATAGATCCATAGAAAAGAAGTGAGAGTCCAGAAATAAACCCATGTATCAATGGTCAATTGATTTTTGACAAGAGAGCCAAGACTATTCAATGAGAAAGAATCATTTTTTCATTAAGCAGTGCTGAGACAATGAGATATACACATGCAAAAAAAATCAATTTGGATCCCTACCTCACATCATATATAAAAATGAATTAAAAAGGATCAATGGCCAAATATAAAAGCTAAAACCATAAAACTCTTAGACGAAAACATAGAATGAACTCATGATTTGGCAACAGATTCTGAAATATGACACCCAAAAGCATGAGCCACAAAAGAAAAAAAAATAGATAAATTAGACTTCATCAAAATTTTAAATTTTGAGCATCAGAGAACTTTATCAGAAAGTGAAAGGCAACCTAGAGGACAGGAGAAGATAATCATGTATCTGATAAGAGTCTAGTATGCAAAATATACGAAGAACTCTTACAATAAAAAGATAAACAATTCAATTCTTTAAAAAATGAGTAGGAGAGCCTGGGTGGCTCAGTCAGTTAAGTGTCTGCTTCTCCCTCTGCCCCTCCCCTCACTCACTCAATCTCTCTCGCTCTCTCTCAAATAAATAAAATATTTTTTTAAATAAAATAAATAAAAAGTAAATGAGTAAAGGGCTTAAACAGACAACTCTCCAAAGAAGATATGAAAATGGCCAGTAAGTATATGAAATGATGGCCAACGTTATTAGTTATCAGGGAAATGCACACCCAAACCACAAAGAGATACATCTCCATGCACACTAGGCTAGCTATAATTTAAAAAATGGAAAATAACAATACTGGCAAGGATGTAGAGAAATTGGAAACCTCATACATTACTGGTGGGAATGTAAACTGGTGGCACCACTATGGAAAACAGTTCGTCGGTTTCTTAAAAAATTAAACAGAGTTACCATATGATCCAGCATTTCCACTCCTGGATATATACTCCAGAGAAATAAAAACGTTCAAACAAAGACTTATACACAAATGTTCATATCAGCATTTTTCAAAATAGCCAAAAGGTAGAAACAACCTAAATGTCCATCAACTGAACAAAATATGGTATATCCCTACAATGGAATGTTATTCAGCCAAAAAAAAAAAAAAATTAAGTACCAATACATGCTGTGACATAGATGAACCTTGAAAATATATGTTAAGTGAAAGAAACTAGACACAAAAGACGACATTTATATGAAATGTCCAGAACAGGCAAATCCATAGGGATAGAAAGTGTGTTAGTGGTTGCCAGCAGCTAGGGTGGGAGGGAGGAATGGGCAGTGACTGCTAACAGACATGAAGTTTCTTACTGGGGTGATGAGAATGTTCTGGAATTAGATAGTGGTAATGGTTGCACAACTCTGTGAATATACTAAAAACCACTGAATTGTATACTTTAAAAGGATGAATGTTATGATATGTGAAATATATCTCAAAAAAAGATAAAAGAATCCTGAGG